CACAACTACACATGTAATCAATTTCATGCAGTTTTTTACCTTCACTTTTGACATTACTAGTTTGCAAGTCTGTCGGATGGCCTTGAAGCGAAAGACGAGGTTGCTGTAAACGGCTTATCATAGGCTGTGGTGACACCCTGCTGTACTCTATGCTTCGAGCAGGTGATCGGGAGCGAGGTGAATTTCTTGGAGATTGTTTTGGTGAAGGCCAGGGAGAACTGCGAGGTGATGGTGAGAACCTGCTAACAGCAGGGTGCACTGTGTGATGTGTGCCATCTTCCTCATCTTCTAAGCTCTGTGCATCAAGCTCCTGGTCGCTGAACGTGCCTCGCCGGGTGGAATTGCAAGAGGAGCCAGAACTACGCCGAGAAGCTGTGGCTGCGTACTCTTGCCGCAGGCCTGGTAACAAGAAGAATGTTGTTTACTTGCTTCCAGCCCACAAATGGTTCCAACTAGAGACAGCGCACACAAATATCTGCACAGTTCTCAAACTCTAATTCAGCTCACCTTAATTCCTGTTATTGGAGGCATTAAATAAATTCTAATTAGTACCAAATTATCTACCAGCTAATAATGCCTTGAAATAAGTAGGTGAGTTCATTCCCTTTCTCAGTAAAGCAATCACCAGTTATAGGTGTGTTGTGCATGTACTTGTTCATCTCCTCTCCCAGGCTGGAACTAGAAACACAGGCTACATCATAATTTTGGTATCAAGTAACATCCTGGAACAATTACAGCAGCCTTAATGAAACGTCTTTTGCAATGTATTAGTGAATCTAGCCAAAAAAGCAACACAATAAGCTATACTTCTAGAGAAACTGGAGGTGTTAGATCAATGGTCTCTGAAGTGTGGTGCCCACACTCCCAGGGATATGCAAACCAATCCACTGGCATACAGCAAGAAAATTCTGAACAACTAGTATTTTTAAAACAGCATTTACCTTGTCTTTATCTCATACTTTTTAAAATTATAATTTAGTGTATATTTGTGTACTTTAGTGTATGCTATACATTACAGTAAAAGTACATATATTGGGCATTTGGTTTTGGTTTTTTTCACAAACATAAAATAGTCTGGAGACCTCCTAGTTAGATGACCAAAATTATTACCACTTTCTGCAAATTCAGAGGGACAAAAAGACAGTGTCAGCTAAAGCTATAATGAAAGACAGGCATGTATACAGGTACTTTTCTTAACTATTCTTTGCCATATTAACTTTACATTTTGGTGATTTAAATCATGGTTTAATCACTGATGTGAACAAGGCTGGATTACATCAGGAAGGCACCAATCTCCTGAGAAGAATGATGGTAGTGTAGTCCATTCTAAAAATCATCCTTTTAGTAAATACTGTACCTTACAAACTCATACTCTCCCACATTGTTTTGTCCATTGTTCCTAAAGAAATCTGTACAGTAACTTCCTTTCCTCAGCCTGAAGTCCTTAACCAGCTTTCTTGGGTGAACTACATTTGTACATCCATAGTAGAATTTATACCCCTTTTCCATACTTTCCATAGCACTAAACAAGTGCTACTGCAGTTATTCAGTTAAAAAAAAACCCAAAACAACAGCTCCACTTTGATTTCAGAAAAAAATCCCACTTACTTTCTTCCTGCATTCGTGCTAAAATTTGCACATCTGTAACATCATTTAACTTGTAATTAGACCCAATAGAGTCTTCATCCATCTCCGATGCACTTAATTCACTGTCCAGAGAAGACTGTGGACTTAGTGGAGGATTTCTATCTCCTGAAATTTTAAGATGACCTATGGAAAGAAAATAAAGTAACAGGAATTGTTGTTATTGAAGAAAAAAAAAAAAAAAAGGGCAAGCTGCATTAGCTGCATTTCCTTTCTTAATAAAAACTGCTACTGAGACATTGATCTGACAGACCATTTGAAACATGTGATTATTTTATTGCAAAGCTAGGCTGAAAATATGCCTCGAAAAAGCAGAGCTTAGCCATTACTGTCTAAAAACGGGCAACTTCATAAAATCATTGCAATAGTGTCAAAACAAATCAGTGGTAAATCATTTGGTCAATCACAGCACGTTCTAACTGCTATGAAGTTTGAACAGCTCTACAAAAAAAGCAACTGCATACCTGGTTCCATCTGTGCTTTCATTCTCACCTCTCTATACCACCTTGTAAGACATAAGTTTGACTGAATCTTTCTTAACAGTAAGGATTTGCTGATCCAATGAAAACTGATTCGGTTTGGAATGCTTAAAACATACTTCACCTGAAAACACTACCAGTTCCACACACACTTTTGCTAAATTGTAACATGGAAACTAACAAGGAAAAACTCTTCCTGTTTGCTGCCTTCTGGATGGTACCCCCATTGCCTGTTACATCTCTGTCTCCCAGGCAGATATGTCATTGTAGCACACAATGCAGAACAGTAGCTACTGAGATTAAACCAAAAACTGGGTAATGGCTCTCATGCAGTGGTGGCTTCTGTCAAAGTCCACAGTGAACTAGTGATAGCTGGATTGTCAATGCAATGTTTTTTCACCTTCCCTGTAAACTAACTTAAATTAAATTATATACAATAAGCCAACAGTTTAACTTCAGAGTAGAGATACATTCCAGGCACCCATTTTTCTCATGCAAAGAAAGTGTCTACAGTGCAGAATAAAAGTAGAAAACATT